AGAAAGTAGAGTAAGCAAGAACCATTTTACTTTTGTGTCTATCTCTGATTTCTCCCTAAAGACAAGATATTAAATGGGCTTTGATACATGCTTTAGCAATCTAATTTAATTTAAAAAAATGATCACTTCTATGAAAAGTATTGTTAAAGTAGTAAAAAAATGCCCAATTCTGAAAATAAACTAATGATATAACAAAATAGTTAACAAAATATACTTAGAATCATTTTCCAGGCATTCTACCAGTTTGCTTAATTCTTTTATTTAATTAATTAAATTAATTAAAAATAAGATTTGTATGAAATAGACCATTTAAATGTCATTTTAAATGTATCGTGTATTTGTATAGCTCATATTAATTTCAGGCACTTTAAAATGTAGTTTACTTAAAAAATGTAGGTAATTTAGAAATGTAATATTAAATATTATACTATGAATATGTAATAATTACTATCTCCATTTAATGAATAAATTTGATAACAATACAGATGTAAATGAGATAGCTCATACTCTTGCTTCATTTGGCTTTCTGGTGCAGTCTAGGTATTTTTTTGAATTAATCCTCATGAGGATTTTACTGAAGTATCTACACATGGTAGTTAGATTTTATTCTGACTGTGTAACTTAAGTATGCTTAATAATCTTCACACCTTTCAATAGAAGCCACATATTCAAAAATAATTCTCTAATATTTCTACAACAGATGCCTTTGTATGTTTAGTAGTACAAACCTCATAAATTTGCATTCTACTGAACAAAAACTCACCTCTGGTGGTAAACTAAGGCCGTGTAACTAAATGTTTGCAGATAAGGTTAGGAAAAATGTTTAGAAGGGACTGGCTTTCCTGGACAATGGGCAGTTTCATTGTTATATCAATTCTCTGACTTGTCCTTATAATGTTAAATCGGTATTTGGTGCTCTGGTGACATTTTCAACAATGAAATAAATGTCAAGTATGGATGGGGTCATGAAGAATGATAGAGCAGAGTGAAGAAGCTTAATGTCTGATGCATGAAAAGTTAACAAACTTGCCCCGGATTGTTTTCCTCTGGGTTTGCTATATGAGTAATGCATATTAATGGTGTGTTAATATTCCTATTACTACTACTTTAGGAGTTTTTGGTTACATGCAACTCAGTGTAGTCATTACTGCATTTCATTTTGTGCCCCTTCAGTGGCTGCCTACCTACCCATGTCCAAGGAAGCAAAGCATATTTCAATATTACTCAATGTGCATAACAAAGTAGTATATGACAGCTGCTCCCAAGGGATTATTGAATGGATTGTACACATACCTAAATAAAGAGAGTAAAATAGGGATTCATTTTAGATATTTTGTGGTCAAGTCATGCATATTACCACAGTGTTTTCTTTCCACATGTATACTTGTGACTGACCCTTAGAAGAGTTCAGAGATACAGTTTTATCTACTGGACTGAGTAGTGATGAAATGGATGGCTCAAGTCTATTTTGAACAAGCTACTAGATGTAGACTTTCAATGTAGTCCTCCTACAAATCCATCACTGATCATGGACTTAGCATTGAGCAAGCAAAGGAAAGGAAATGCAGAGTTCAAAGCAAGGTGAGGAGGCTCATGGCCAAGAAATCCCATATGCAGGGAAATAGTTATAGCTTACTCCAGCCCATATGGAAGTTCACTGCTTTTACCATTTAGGGTTCCCAAGAGAGCCTGTCTGGAAGGAGAAATAAATCCCAATCCCCACTAACACCCGATCGTGCTTACTGCATGTGGGATATTACTCAGCAGGCACAGCTGCATATGCAATTTTATATAAACATCTGAGGCCTTTCCGCAGGCACAAGTCTCACTCTTCCTTTTAGAGCATTTGCCTCCTAATTTTGAATTCCCTCTACCTATAAGACCTGTAGAAATTGGGAAATCATACGAAGGACTGAAAAGAGATAGTATTTGTGCCAGGACCCAAGATGCCAAGCACATGAATTCTTAACAACCCACACTACTCCAAATGCAATGCACCCGAGAGATATATGAGCAGAGAGCAAGATGAGGTAAAAGCAGAATTTTCATCATTATTTGGCTTTTGCCCTGAATCTGAATGTAATATCACCTCCTTAGGCAGTTACCAAATACAACTGGCTCCAGATGCACCCCATCTGCCAAATATGTGGGAGCAGATCCCATCACTACTGACCTGGAGTTAAACTTCATAACACAGCCTCTCCACCCATTAGGACTGAGGCCAAATAACACTGCCTGCCTTTGACAATGACCCAATCTTGGTGAAGAAAGGATGAGTGATGGAGAGGCAAGGACTAATCCAGTTTGGTTGGTAGACGAGCAAGGAATAAAACAGGAACACTAGCTTTCAATGAGAGGCCAAGGGCACTTTTATTTTCTTCTTTTGTCACTTCTGTCTTATGATTGAAGTGGGATATCTGTGCACAGTTCAGAAGAAGAATTTTTTGCAAGCTTAATATCCATGTCTTTTTTTTTTCTTTTTTAAATAGTAATAGTTCCCTGATTTTCTTTATTCTTTCTAATTATGTGGTTCTGGAGAAAGTTAATCCAACCTCTTTGCATTCCATCCTTTTGCCTACAGTCCTTTAGAGATGGCAGTGAAACTGAAGAAACCATTAAGTTTCATTTTTGGAACTTTCATCTGAGCTCTCAAGACAGAAGTCATATTTCCAACTACTTTCTAGAATTACTGACAGCCATTTTTCTCATTATTAAAGTCTCCCTGGTAATAGAGATCATATAAACGATTTTTTAGATTTTTTTCAAATTAAAAAGGAAATGGTATTCTTTCTTCTTCCCTTTGTCCCATCCCTCCCGCCTTCCCTATTTTTCCTCCTTTTCCTATTATCACTGACTTCTCCTCCTCCTCTCTCTCCTCCCTCTCCCCCCTCCCCCTCCTCCCCCTCCTCCCCTTCCCCTTCCTCCTCCACCTCCTCTCCCCCTCCCCCTCCCCGTCCCCCTCCTCCTCCTCCTCCTCCTCCTCCTCCTCCTCCTTCTTCTTCTTCTTCTCCTCCTTCTCCTTCTTCTCCTTCTTCTTTGTATTTTTCTCCTTCTCTTCCTCCTCATTCTCCTCTTCCTCCTTATCCTCCTCATCCTCCCCTCTCCCTTCTTTCTCATCCTCCTTCTTTTTCCATATTTAGGTTTATTTTTGTTACTGTTTTCTAAGAGACAGCTTTCAGAGATTTGTCACACATGATTTTCAAATGAGCTTCTTATTCTGCTTATCTATTCACTACCCAGGGTAGATAAATAATCAAAGTTACTGTGATGAATGTTGAAGGACATGGAATTGCAACTCTGAGGTCTTATTGATTAATGTGAGGAAATTTGCCTCAAATATATTATTTGCTTTGTGTATCTGACATGTGCATAAGAATAGTTACTCTGCCCTTTTTGAGATCTTCTATGTGACAGTGAAATTATCTAGCATCAACGTTATTCATTAGTTAACCTTGTTTGACACAGCCCAGAGAATTGATTTGTTATTATTAGTGGAAGATGCTCCAGATATTTTGAAGCTCTATACTGGATCATTCAATTCACCTCTTCTACTGATTATAGATTATTTTATGTACTCTATAAGAATCTTGATACCTAGGAGCAGAGTGTTACTGTTCCTGTTGCTTTTCTCAGGTCATTGTTGGCAGTGCAAATAAACATCACTTAAGAGAACGTATCTACAGAGATTGTGTCTATCTGTGTTGAAAGAGTGAGCCTTAAATTTGTGCTTGAAGCCTTTTGGTAAACTGAAATCATAGAGCTCCAACTTGTAGATGCATCAAGACTCATTATTTGTAAGTCTCAAGCTGGCAAACGGAAGGGTTTCTGGCAAGCCCTGTTTTCTGAGTAAAATGATCTCTCCAGGCTAAGCATGAAGCCATCTGTAACAGCTTAAATTGCTTCCTTAGTCACCAGGACAAAATAATGGCAAGAGTGAAGTAGTTATTGTAAGCCCTTTAGGCTTGCTTTCACCTCCAGGGTATTCATGCCAGGAGATTTGCTACACTCTGTTCTTCTTGTCTAGATACTTTTTTATGCCTTCGTTTTGGCACTAACTGTGCCTACATTTTTTCTGACTATGGGTCAGAGCTTCTTTGAGATTCATAGAAACGTTTCTTCTGCATACTGCCCCAAATTTATGGTAGAAAAGCAGCCTGGGCCATGTTCTTGGTGCTGTGATAAACTATCTGGAAATGTATTTCATTTGGGGGCAGTGCCCTCACACTCCAAGACCTCAGTAGACTTGCTAGAGATTGCTCTAGTTCTTTATGAAGCCTGGATTTCTTTTAGTGGGCTAAATGATCAGTTGCCAATCTTTCCATCTCTGGTTACTTCTTAAGAGATTTTAGACTTTATCACCTTAGAAAAAATAACACAGAACATCATATGCTTTTTCCATCCTTCCACATTTGTTATATTTTAAACATAAGATGTCATACTGCTACATACTGTAGAAGGCACCACAAGGATTAGCTGTGCTTCTAGACATTTGCATTCCCTATGTACAAGAGTCCTTTAACACTTTAGATTTGATTTGTTTGTATTGTAAAGGTGATGTACAGAAGAGTTACAGTTATATGTCAGGTAATGAGTACATTTCTTTTTTGAACAGTCTCAACCCCCTCCCTCATTTAAGATTCTGTTTTTTTTTTTGGGGGGGGGGAGTCCTGTCATGGGACCTAGGCACTGTCACTCAGTTCTTCAGCTCAAGGTTAGCGCTCTACGACTTGAGCCACAACGCCACTTCCGGCTTTTTCTTTTTTGCTTATGTGGTGCTGGGGAATCGAACCCAGGGCCTCATGCATGCAAGGCAAACACTCTACCACTGAGCCAATGTCCCAGCCCAAGATTCTGTTTTAATATGTCTCATTACCACCTGTACAGAGGAGCAAGAAAACTATGTTCATGCATTATTTTAAAACCAGTGAGATATATCTATCCAGTATTTATCTTTTACAAAACAACAAATATATTAAAAATTTGCAGGACAGGCTCCCCTCGGGCTCTTCTTAGGCCATGATGATCCACGGCTTCCAGAGCAGCCACCAGGACTTCTCCTTCGGCCCCTGGAAACTGACGGCGGCCAAGACTCATATCATGAAGTCAGCGGATGTGGAGAAGTTAGCTGATGAATTACATATGCCATCTCTCCCTGAAATGATGTTTGGAGACAACATTTTAAGAATCCAGCACGGCTCTGGCTTTGGGATTGAGTTCAATGCTACAGATGCATTAAGATGTGTAAATAATTACCAAGGGATGCTTAAAGTAGCCTGTGCAGAAGAGTGGCAGGAAAGCAGGACGGATGGTGAACACTCCAGAAAGGTTGTAAAACTATATGATTGGACCTATACAACAGATTACAAAGGAACATTACTTGGAGAATCTCTTAAGTTAAAGGTTGTACCTACAACAGATCATATTGATACAGAGAAATTGAAAACTAGAGAGCAGATTAAATTTTTTGAAGAAGTTCTCCTATTTGAGGATGAACTGCATGATCATGGAGTTTCGAGCTTGAGTGTGAAAATTAGAGTAATGCCTTCTAGCTTTTTTCTACTGTTGTGGTTTTTCTTGAGAATTGATGGGGTACTTATCAGAATGAACGACATGAGGCTTTACCATGAGGCTGACAAGACCTACATGCTACGAGAATATACGTCACGAGAAAGCAAAATCGCTAATTTAATGCATCTTCCACCTGCCCTCTTCACAGAACCTAATGAAATATCACAGTATTTACCAATAAAGGAGGCAGTTTGTGAGAAGCTAATATTTCCAGAAAGAGTTGACCCTAACTCTTCAGACTCACAAGAAAGTACACCCGTGGAATAGAATGTAATATAACATGCTTTCACTGTGGAATTTGACTGGACATGTTGGCTATTTGTAGGGGGTATTTTTGTTCTGAGCATTAATTACCTTGCTTATGTACAGATTTTCTGTAGCCTTAAAGGAAATAAAAATAAAAATAAAATGTTGTAGGCAAGTTCAAAAAAAATTTGCAGGACATATTTTGTCTCCCTTTGTATAAGCGAATAATATGAATTTTTCATTTTTTAAACTCTAGGTAATTTATACCACAAAGTATGAATGGCTTGCTTAATTTTGTGGCTCAGCAAAATCTGATCTTTGGGACCCTTCCTCTTTCCTTAGAATTTTACTGTTAAGATTATAGAGCATCCTTCATACTTTTTGAGTTCATTCTGTTTCCAAGGTGCCAGCTCTCGAAGTCCTGGGGCTTATTGCAAGTAATCACTGTGGATGATGTAAAAGGAAGAGATGGGCAAATGTTATAAACAGATTTTCTCCAATCCTTACTGCTGAAACATCTGCAATGATGTTGCTTGTTGATATATATTATTAATTACTAGAATCTGGCTTCTCTGAACACATGAACTCCACCTCAGTACTTAGACTAGTGGCTCAACTTGAAAATATCCATGAGTTTAAGGAGAATGAAATCTCCATATGTCAGAGACATATTTGGTGACTATCTCAATGATCCCTTCCAAAAGCTCCACAAGAGTGAAGAAAATGGTATCACTGACAATAATATCCTTGAGTTAGCCTGAGGCCAAATTTATTTAGATTTAGATTTTCATACCTTATTGATCATATGTATAGTTCTCAATTACTCCAAGTAAGTGTATGTCTAAGAAATGAAACATATGGATCTTTTTTAGAAAAGAGTCATTCTTAATGTCATGTCTATTAAATACTAGCATAATAATATAAAATTAAGTTATATATTTAGTTAAATTAGTTGAAGAGACTATTTTAGACATGTTCAATATTGCAAAGTAAGGCATATTATCCATTATCATTTGTAAAAAAATTTCTGTGTATGTAATCTATAATACCTTGGAAATTCTAAAATAAGGAAATGTATTACCAGTGTAAGTGAATAGTAATAAAAAGTCCTAAGGAGTTACCTTTGTAAAACTATATCTCTTGTGGATATATTTCTAGAGGATTGATCATATTGATAAAAAAACATACTACAAAATAATTGTTAGGTACATGGTAGATCCCTAGAAACCAGAAGATGTGTTTCTTTTATCCATTACAATAATTATCCCCACCTTATTTTTGAAGATTAGATGAATACCTCCACTTGTTCAGATTACTATAACAAAATGCCCCAAACTGGGTGATTTAATAGACATTTATTTCTCATAGCTCTGGTGCCTGGGGAATCCATGATCATGAGGGAGGAGAAAATGAGGAGGGATAGAGGGGGAGAGGAAAAGAGGGGAGGCAAGAGGAGAAAAAAACAGAATAAAAAAGAGGAAAGCCATGAAGAAGAGAGACATGAAGAGGAGAGGAGAGGTGAGAAGAGGAGAGGATATCAGCAGATTTTTCCTCCTTTTTTTCTAATCTCATCATGATATTCTTCTCTCAAAACCTCAGCTAACCCCAACCAAGTTTCACAAACACTTGAACTTTTAAAATATCTACTTTGGGGAATGAAGGCTTCTCATATGAATTTGATCGGGGAACCAACAATCTATGTTGTTATATGGTCTCTGCCTGTTTAGGGTTCCCCAAATTCCTACTGTAAACAGTGACCACAATTTTGTGTCACCTGCTCCCACTGTCATCTTCAGCTTGTCTTGGCAGCCACTAGTGAGCTTTAGAAGCAAGATGTAGCACCCCAAGCCAATATATGCCCTGATGTTCAGAAAGACAATCTCTTTGAAATCTCCCCTCAGTGGATGCAATTATTGTTGGCAAATTCATTGTTTGTGATTAGCTGACTGCACAAGCTTGTTGATTTCCTTCTTTAAAATATCTCAGAGAAGTTCCAACATCCCAGCCTCATGGACTAGTGGCCATCATTGACCCTAGACGTCAGTCAAGTAACAAAATTCCTTGCTACTCAAAATATGTACATTAAATGCAAAACCATAATGACAGAAATTATAGTATAACTCAAACATAAAACATAAAAATATAAAACAGAATTTCATTATATTTCTTCTGTTAATTTGAGAGTCTATTCATGTTAGGAGCAATGGCTCAGGGCTGTAATCCCATTTACTTGCTAAGTGGATATTGAGGACTGTGGTTGAAGATTAGCCCAGGCAAAAAAGAAGTTCATGTGACTTTGTTTCAAGCAGTGGCTGGTGCCATAGTTCATGCCTATTATCCCTGCTATTGGGGAAACACAATAGCTGGGTACAGTAGCATGTTCCTGTCATTCCAGGTAGCCCACTTATTTATTGGGCAGTTATTTCTTTGAGGATTTGTTGTTGAGGGGTTTAATTTTTGTTCCAGGTACAAGTAAATACAAGGAAGCATAAACAGGATTGCAGCCCAGAATCATTCTGGCATAAAGCTTGACCCTAACTTAAAAATAACATCTGGAAAAGGGGATGGAGGCCTGAATCAAGTGGTAGACTGTCTTCTTAGCAAGCTCAAGGCCCTGAGTTCAATCCCCAGTATCACTCCCCCACAATTCATTTACATAAGTGTAACTCTGATTTTCTTTGATACATATTAGCAAGGTCTTGTAAACTCTTTGGCATATGACCAGTCCTTTTCTTGGCGACAGTATATGGCAAATCCTTTTTCCCTCTGGGAGATTTGGGAGACTTGATTCTTTTTAATGGGCCTGGAGGCAGTGAGAAGTGGCAGAACTTGAATAAGAAATCAAAGTAAGAGGTCTTCCTAGGGCCTCAACTAATGAAACGTCTTCATGAAAGAAATGCAGTTTACTTAGGCACGAGGAGGTGGCAGCTTCTGGCAAGAGTGAGTTTAATGGGATTAGGAGAAAATGTTTCTCAGACTTGTCTATATCTGCCTAAATGTTCTCATTCCAAGTTTAAAGGTCACATGCCTTTGCAACCAGAGCCTCTTCTTGACATGGAGACTTGATTAATCAGGCAGTTCCCTAGCCTTATAATTTTTGAAAACCACATATCTAAATGCAGGGCATTATTTCTTGCTACTGTGGTTGACAGAAAAAAAATGCCCAACTGCCATTGTTCAAGTCCTAATGAACTTGTTACTAGACCTGTTAAAATCGTGATTAGGGATCTTGAAAAGTAGAGATTATCTGGGATTACCCAGGTAGGCCTACTGTAATCTCAAGAATCTTGATAAGTGAAAGAAGGTGGCATAAAATTCAAGGTCAGAATCTCGGGGAGATTTGTAATGCTGACCTAAAAGGTGGAGGAATTAGTTTTGAACTAAGAAATATGAGTTGATTCTAGAAGCTTTCACAAAAACAAAGAAACACAATTCTTCTCTAGATGTCCCAAAGGAAATACTAATCCTGCTAATAATACACTTTGATTTTAACACAGTAAGACCTATATCAGACTTTGCTCTGCAGATTTGCATGATAAAATTGTGTTGTTTAAAGTAACTCTATTTGTGTTAATTTGTTGCAGCAACAAATTTTAACAAATACTACCATTCTTTCCCAGCAGGGATTATGTTAAAGTCAACAGAGAACCTTTGTGCATCTCATTACGTGCCTTGAGTTGATAGGTGAAGTCTCAGGTGCAATCAAGGATGATTATTTTTTCTCCCCCACAATCTTTGCTATTGCTTTTGTTGTAGTGATCACACTCATCAGCCACTTGATCACTAAAGTGCTTTCCTTCAGTGCTCCCACACTACTGATGTGATATGTTAAGTAATCATGGTGCCAGTATGCCCGGACACTGGACAAGTGAATCACTCATTTGTTTACACAGGGACATCTTTAACCTTTATCCTAATATGAAGAATTCTTTCCTGTGGCTCTTCCTAGTTCCAAATATTGTGCCATCTGGGGATCTTACAGAACATATAATCTACTCCAGATGTTTCAAATGGGCTGTTTTAAGAGGGTAGAAGTAGAAGAAAGTTGTTACTAAATTATGAATGAAGGGAACAGGTGGGACAAAGTACTCAGTGGAGTTTAATGAGATTTGGAAAGGTTAAAGAGGGGTCACCAGTTAGCAAGAAGTCTGAACTGATGCAGTGGAATGTGGGTGGAATATGTTACCCTTTCTTTTCTTTCTCATCCTCTACTCTTAAATTTTCCTAATAGCCTTCTTAAGTAAGAATCAAGCTGTTATTAATCCTAAAATATTTATTCTGTAAAAATCAGCCTTAGAATATGGAACAAAGGTACTAATCTAAGAAAGGGTCTCTGTCTGTGTATCTCCCTCAGGTACATATACACACACATAGATATGCCCAAAGTAACACAAATATACACATTGTTTAGAATTCTATTACTCAAAGGAATAGAAGAAACAAACACAGGAAAATATAGTGTTCAATGATAAACTATGACTCAAGTAACAGTATATTTCTTTGGGTATGGATATATTATTTCCGTAGGTTAAATCTCCCCTTTCCAAATTTTCCATTTCTTGTGATTATTGATTATTGGTTTGATCTGAACTGTTTCTTCTTCATTCAGTCCATCACCTCCAGTCACTTCCCAAAGCTGTCTATTTTGTGTCCATCGGGACCTCAGAGCCGCGCTTTCTCTGGCTGCTTTATCTCACTGTCTCTCTTGATTTTTTGCAGAACTGATTAGGATCCACCATCGAGTCTAGTTTGTGTCATAGCCAATAGAGTCCTTGCTTTTTCTGACTGTCTTGCATCTCACATCTCAGGAAAATTGCCCTCTTTGGAGCTTTTAATGAAGTTTTTTTTCTCTTAGAAGGAATAAAATATTCTGGGCATAGTGCCATTAAAAAACATCTCATATAGATAACTTCTCAAAATCTACCTCCTCCCAATTCTATTGTTTTCCCAAAATCTTGAGTTTTTTCTCATTGTTAAGAAACAAGAAACACACAGTGGTCTTGTTTAATATGTAAGAGCTAATTCAGAGGGGTAGTTTCTCAATAAATAGGTTGCTCACTCCCTTTAAGCCATTTAGTACTTCATCTCTTGCCATTAATATTGAAGTTAGAACTCTAAATAAAATGCTCGTGTATATAATACCTAAAAGTTGTCAAAGAGTATAAGACCTTTGAGATAAT